GTGTGTAATGCTGCCTGCCTGAGACATATCCCTGTTATCTACATCCTCTGGCAATAATGGTTGCACATCACTCATTTCTTCCAACTGATGTGTAAATAACTCCTCTGACATACCAAGTGAAGCTGCTGTGGTGCTAGTGTTGGTGGTGGCGGCAGGCGGGCGAGTGGTAACTTGAGAGGTGCCCGAAGCTAAGCTGGAGGAGGATGGTGCGTCAAGGTTCCGAGCGGAAGCTGTAGAAGTTTGGGTGTCCTGTGTTAGCCAGTCAACTATGTCCTCAGAACTTTTCGAGTTCAGGGTACGTGGCCTCTGAACACTGGGCATTATTCTAGGGCCAAAGGGAATCACAGCACCACGACCACGACAGCCCCTGCGGGGTGGCCTGCCTCTGCCTGTCATTTTTTTTTCGATTAGTGGTACTATGCGTGCAAGCTTCTGTGACAACAGATATGAGTGGCACTGTGCAGTGGCAGAAGTTGGCAGAGTAGACGCTGTAGGCCTGACACACACGCTTGCAGACAACTAACTGCTATTCAATCTATTACAGTCAAAATTGTATATTTTTTTTTAAATGTACACTACTGTTACACCAGATATGAGTTGCACTGGTGTGACACTGTGCCCTGGCAGGCCCTGAAACGCACACGCGTGAAGGAAACTGACTGCTATTATATTACAGTCCAAAAAGTTTTTGTTTTTTTTTAAATGCAAGCTATTGGGACACCAGTGAGTGAATGGTGGCACTGGACAGGCCCTGAAACGCACACTCATGAAGGAAACTGACTGCTACTTTATTACAGTCCAAAAAGTTTTGTTTTTTTAAAATGCAAGCTATTGGGACACCAGTGAGTGAGTGGTGGCACTGGGCAGGCCCTGAAACGCACACTCGTGAAGGAAACTGACTGCTATTATATTACAGTCAAAAAAGTTGTTGTTTTTTTTTAATGCAAGCTATTGTGACACCAGTGAGTGAGTGGTGGCACTGGGCAGGCCCTGAAACGCACACTAGTGAAGGAAACTGACTGCTATTATATTACAGTCAAAAAAGTTTTGTTTATTTTAAATGCAAGCTATTGTGACACCAGTGAGTGAGTGGTGGCACTGGGCAAGTGGGCACAGTATATGCTGTGAGCCTGACACACAGGCTGGCAGGCAGGCAACTACAATTACATTACACAGAAAAAAAAAGCAGACTGATGTTCTAGCCCTAAAAAGGGCTTTTTGGAGTGCTGTCCTTACAGCAGAGATCAGATGAGTCCTTCAGGACTGTAGTGGACACTGAATACACTAGCCTAGCTATCAATTTCCCTATCAAATCAGCAGCAGCTACACTGTCCCTCCTCTCACTAAGAATGCAGTTTCACAATGAATGTAAAATGGATGCTGTCCAGGAGGTGGGAGGGTCTGGGAGGGAGGGTCTGCTGCTGATTGGCTGGAATGTGTCTGCTGACTGTGAGGTACAGGGTCAAAGTTTACTCAATGATGATGAATATGGGGCGGACCGAACAGCGCATATGTTCACCATCTGTGGTGAACGCGAACAAGCGATGTTCGCCAGGAACTATTCGCCAGCGAACCGTTCGGGACATCACTGGTTATGATGCTTGGAGTATTCATTTAATGTCTCAGGGTTGCATACCGGCAGGAATGCAAGTTTGAGAAGATAATGATGAGAGATGCTGTTTAGGTCATCGAATAGGAATGGATGGTCCTGGGCAAACAGTGCATTTTCCAGGTCCATTTACGGCTTTGCTTTAACACCTGCAAATCATTGATGCACCTGTGCCATCTGGTCTCCATAGTGGTAATTAAGAAAGTTGGGCAGATTTTCCTACTTTTTTAGGGACATAGAGATTGCTACGTCTAACCCTAGATTCAGGGCCGCCATCAGGGGGTGACAACCATGACTGCAGCACTTTCTTTCTCTGCACACATAGATAGCGAATATCGCAATCTATGTGTGCAGCCGCGGGCCCCCGGCTCCCTGTTACCACAGAGGGGGCCCAGCACACAGCTTCACAACTCTCGCAAGACCCGTGGAGCGTTGCCATGGTAACCGGGTCTCGCAAGAGTTATTAGAAGAGAGAAGAGAGGAGAAACTGTGTGCTGCCTGGGCCCCCTCTGCTGTAACAGGGAGCCGGGACCCCCCCCCCCACTGGACCACTATGGATGGAATCTCCCCCCTCCCTGGACACAAGTAAGCAGGGAGGGGGGAATATCATTTAAATTTAATTTACACATTGCACATTTACACACACACACTGCATACACTAACACAACACACACACACTGCATACACTAATACAACACACACACACACTGCATACACTAACACAACACACACAGCATTCACTAACAAAACACACACACACTGCATACACTAACACAACACACACTGCATACACTAACACAACACACACACTGCATACACTAACTCAACAAACACACACTGCATACACTAACACAACACACACACACTGCATACACTAACACAACACATTGCATAAACTAACACAACACACACACTGCATACACTAACACAACACATACTCTGCATACACTAACACAACACACACACACTGCATACACTAACACAACACACACTGCATACACTAACACAACACACACATTGCATACACTAACACAACACACACACTGCATTCACTAACACAACACACACTGCATACACTAACACAACACACACACACTGCATACACTAACACAACACACACACTGCATTCACTAACACAACACACACTGCATACACTAATACAACACACACACACTGCATACACAAATACACTAATACAATACACACACTGCATACACTTATACAACATACACTCTGCATACACTACACACTAACACACTCACTGCATCCACTATACTGACACACACTCTGCATTCGCTACACATTAACACACTCTGCATTCACTATACTAACACACACTCTGCATCCGATACACTAACACACACTCTGCATCCGCTACACACTAACACACTCTCTGCATTCACTACACATTAACACACACTCTGCATTCACTACAAATTTACACACACTCTGCATTCACTGCACTAACACACACAATACATCCATTACACTGACACACTCTGCATTCACTACACACTAACACACACTCTGCATTCACTAAACTATGCACACACTCTGGATTCACTATACTAACACACACTCTGCATTCACTACACTAACATACTCTCTGCATTAACTGTACACACAGCATCCACTACACAAACATCCTGTATTCACAGTACACACACTACATCCACCACAAATTGAAACACTCTGCATTCACTATACACAGACACTGTGTCTAATACACACACTACATCCACTACAGACACTGCATCCACTAAACACATTTCATCTAGTACATACAAACACTACATCCACTACACAAACACACACTACATCACTGTACACACACTACATCCACTACTCAAATACACTCTGCGTTCACTATACACAGTGCATCCACTACAAAAACACACACTCTGCATTCACTGCACAAACAGTATCTAATACTCACAAACACTACATCCATTACACACATTCTAATTCACTTCCACTATACACACCACATTCAGTACTGCATCATTGTGAGCGGACTAGGTAGGGCGTGGGCGGGCCCGGGAGGGAGGGAGTGGGGGGAGGCGGAGAGGTAGGTGGTGGAGAAGATACAGGATACAAAAAGAATTGTACATAGGACAATGGCACTCTTTCAAAGTAGGCACCTTGGATTGGGACCTCACACAGTTCTCCCAGCGTATTTCTAGGTTTATGGTGTTGAACAGAAAATTGGGTCTGGGGTTGAGTACATTGGCTGAAACTGACAAAGCCCAGCAAGTAAGGAGACACAGTCTAATTGGGTGGATAGAATCTAGCACCCCACAATCTTTAAATTTCATAAAAAATGAGTCCAGGATTATTGAGTTGATACTGGCTGATATGCTGGCTACAGAAGCAATGACACTCGAGTCAGTCTAAACATAACTCCAGTTATTCATGATGCAAGAGCTGCTGCTTCTGATTCAGAGCCTATTTATGGTAGTGATATGAGCTCCATCAGGGGCGGACTGAGAGCCTTTGGGGCCCCCGGGCAAAATTAGATCCCAGGCCCTTTGAAGGCCAAATATATGTGCATTAAATAAATGTTAAATATAACTCATAATACGGCATTCCTTTGGATGTGTGTATTGTGAAGACCTGTGTATCAATGCATGTTTGTATTTGAGTCTGTGTGAATGCACTTGTGCATGTATGGATGACTACATGTGCTTTTTTGTATATAGTGTCTTTGTGAATGCATATGTGACAGGTGACAGAGTGTTTGAGGGAGAAGGTGACAGGTGGAAGAGTGTGGGAGGTTGTGACAGGTGGCAGAGTGAGGGGGTACCTGGTGGCAGAGTGAGGGAGGGAGGGGTGGGTTGGTGGCAGAGTGAGGGGGAGACACAGTGAGTGGTGGTGACTGGTGACAGAGTGAGGGAGGGGTGACTAGTGACAGAGGGATGGAGAGGGGGTGACTAGTGACAGAGTTAGGGAATGGGTGACTAGTGGCAGAGTGAGGGAGGAAAGAGATGACTAGTGGCAAAGTGAGGGAGGGAAGAGGTGACTAGTGGCAAAGTGAGGGAGGGAAGAGGTGACTGGTGACAGAGTGAGGGGATGACTGGTGACAGAGTGAGGGGATGACTGGTGACAGAGTGAGGGAGTGACTAGTGACAGATGGAGGTAGTGACTAGTGACAGAGGGAGGTAGTGACTAGTGACAGAGTGAGGGAGGGGGTGACTGTCACTAGTCACCCCATCCCTCTCTCTGTCACTAGTCTCTCCCTCCCTAACTCTGTCACTGTGAAGGAAGGGGTGACTGGTGACAGAGTGAGGGGAGGACTGGTGACAGAGTGAGGGAAGGGATGACTAGTGGCAGACTGAGGGAAGGAAGGGATGACTGGTGACAGAGTGAGGGAATGACTGGTGACAGAGTGAGAGAGGGGGTGACTAGTGACAGAGTGGGTGACTAGTGACAGAGTGAGAGAGGGGGTGACTAGTGACAGAGTGAGGGAGGGAGTGGGTGACTAGTGAGAGTGAGGAAGGGGGTGACACAGTGAAAGAGTGAGGAAGGGGGTGACACAGTGACAGTGAGGGAGGGGGTGACTGTCACTAGTCACCTGATCCCTCCCTCTGTCACTAATCACCACCACCCTCACTCTGTCACTAGTCACCCCTTCCCTCCCTCTCTCTGTCACTAGTCACCCCCTCCCTCTCTCTGTCACTAGTCACCCACACCCTCACTCTGTCACTAATCACGCCCTCCCTCACTCTGTCACTAGTCACACACTCCCTCACTCTGTCACTAGTCACCACCTCCCTCTGTCACTACTCCCTCCCTCCTTCTGTCACTAGTCACCCCCTCCGTCCCTTACTCTGTTACTAGTCACCCCCTCCCTCACTCGGTCACCAGTCATCCCCTCCCTTTGTCACCAGTCATTCGCTCACTCTGTCACCAGTCACCCCTTCCTTCCCTCACTCTGCCACTAGTCACCCCTTCCCTCACTCTGTCACCAGTCATTCCCTCACTCTAGTGACAGAGTGAGGGAGAGGGTGATTAGTGACAGAGTGAGGTAGTGATTAGTGACAGAGTGAGGGAGGGGTGACTAGTGACAGAGTGAGGGAGGGGTGACTAGTGACAGGGGAGGGTGACTAGTGAAGGAGGGTGTGACTAGTGACAGAATGAGGGAGGGGGTGATGGTCACTAGTCACCTCATCCCTCCCTCTGTCAATAGTCACCCCCTCCCGCACTCTGTCACTAGTCACTCCCTCCCGCACTCTGTCACCCAAAGTAGTAGTGACTAGTGACAGAAGTGAGGAGGATGATCAGTGACAGAAGGGAAGTGACTGGTGACAGAGTGAGGGAAGGTGACTGGTCACAAGTGAGGAGGGAAGGGTGACAGAGTAGTGAGGAAGAAGTGACTAGTGACAAGAGTGAGGAGGGGTAAGTAGTGACACAGTGAGGGGTGACTAGCGGCACAGTGGGGATTACCTGAAAGTGACACACAGTGGGGGGATGCCTAGTGACACAGTGGGGGGATGCCTAGTGACACAGTGAGGGGGGTGACCAGTGACACAGTACGGGGTGACTAGTGACAGTGAGGGGAGGTGACTAGTGACACAGTGGGGGGGTGACTAGCGACAGTGAGGGGTGTGACTAGTGAGCATAGTAGAGTGACTAGGAGGACACAGTGGGGGTGACTAGGCACACAGTGGTGGGTGACTAGGGACACAGTGGGGGTGACTGAGCAGAACAGTGGGGGGGAGGGTGATTGTGACAGTGGGGGGTGACTGAGGTGACAGTGAGGGGGAGTGACTAGTGACAGTGAAGGGGGGTGACTAGTGACAGTGGGGAGGGGTGACTAGTGTCAGTGGGGGGGAGGGTGACTAGTGACAGTGAGGGGGGGGGAGGGGTGGCTAGAGCCTACCTGTCTATCTGCTTCCTCTTCTGGTCTCCCAGGCTGCTGCTCCTTCCCCTAGTGGCTCTGTGTGAGAGGAGTAAACAGGAAGTGATGTCACTTCCTGGCCCCGCCTCTCCCATCACACAGAGCACCGCGGGACAGGGAGAAGGAGACCTGGCAGAGACCTGGAGAAGCTGCCAGGTCTCATGGAAGGGAGGGGGGAGGGGGGGTGGTTGCTGGGGCCCCGCGCTGCATCAGGGGCCCCAGCAACCTATTGAAGGAAATGATTTTTTTTATTTTTTTTTGCCGTTCCAGTTGGAGAGATCTCTGATCTCTCCAGCTGGAGCATGGCTGTGCGGCCGGGCCCCTGACTGTCTCGGGCCCTCGGTCCATGACCGAAGTGCCCGAGTGGTCAGTCCGCCCCTGAGCTCCATACTCCCCAGTCTGAAGGCCCCTTACTTAGAATTACAAGTGTCCACCCATTCATGAGATTATGAAATAGGGTAACAAATATCTAACCCAGAGATCATTGTGTCTGGTGCAACAATGATGGCACAATGACAAAATGACAGTGTACAGGATCTGGTCCATCATGAGATGATGAATAGAGGTTGTGTGTTGTGGTGGCGGTCAGTATATTTTGTAGTGTTCTTTGGAAGGTGAACAGAAAGCAACGAGGAAGAAAATGAGTGCGAAAAGGACACATGCAAATAGTTGCAGGCCTAAAAAAAGTCATGTTATGGAAGCCCTTCACAGCATGTGATATCAGACAAGCTGGTTGCAAGAAGCACATACAGTGAATCTGTCATACGCAGGAAGGAAGTTAAATGGAAAATCAAAATGTGACAAAGGAAACAAAGCCAAAAGAAATTTGTGTCCTTGCCATTACTTTTAACGCTCGCCTTACTGCCGATGGGTGAAAATAATGGGGATAGACTGTTCTCAGTATATCACTGGTAATTATGATATGTCTTTGTGAGTGTGATTTAGTGTGCTTTGATGGTCCTTTAATTATTATTATTATTGCTATTATTATTATTATTATTATTATTATTATTATTATTATACACTGATCAACCACAACATTAAAACCAGTGACAGGAGAAGTGAATAACATTGATTATATTGTTACAATGGAACCTGTCAAGAGGTGGGATATATTGGGCAGCAAGTGAACAATCTGTTCTTGAATTTCATTTGTTGGAAGCAGGAAAAATGGGAAAACAAAAAGATCTGAGTGAATTTGACAAAGTGCCAAATAGTGATGGTTAGATGATTGTGTCAGAGCCAAGATAGCAGGTCTTGAGGGGTGTTCCTGGTATAAAGTGGTTAGTACTAACCAAAAGTAGTGGAAGGAAGGACAACCAGTGAGTGGCATCAGGATCATGGGCTACCAAGGCTCATTGATGCACGTAGGAAGCGATGGCTAGCCTGTGTGGTCCGATCTCACAGAAGAGCTGATGTAGCACAAACTGCTGACAAGCGTATTGCAGGCAATGATGGAAAGATGTCAGAACACACAGTGCATTTCAGTTTGTTGCATGTGGGGCTGCATAATCTCAGATTCATTAGAGTGTGCGTGATGACCCTATACACCAATGAAAGCACCTTCAATAGTAATGTGAGCATCAGAACTGGACCATGGAGCAGTGGAAGAAGGTTGTCTAGTATGATGAGTCCTTTTTTATTTTAGATCAGGTGGATAGACGGGTGCGAGTTTGTCATTTATCTTGGAAAAAGATGAGAGTAGGGTGCACTATGGGACAAAGATAGGCCGGCTAAGGCAGTAATATGCTCTGGGCATGTTCTAGACATATTTTGCTTTGAAACCTTGAGTTCTGGCAATGATGTGAATGTTTATTTGACACATACCACCTACCTAGAGATTGTTGCACACTATGTACACCCCATGGCAATGGTGCTCCTTGATAATGCACCCTGCCACATTGCAAAAATTGTTTAGGAATGGTTTGAGGAACATGACAAAGAGTTCAAGATGTGGGATGTGCTGGAATAACAAATTTGATCCATGGAGGCCACACCTCACAACTTGCAGGACTTAAAGGACCTGCTGCTAATGTCTTGGTGCCAAATACCGCAGGACATGTTCAAAGGTCTTGTAGAGTCCATACCTTGTCGAATCAAAGTTGTTTTTGACCTACATGATATTAGGCAGGTGGTTTTAATGTTGTGGCTGATCAGTGTATATTGTCCCTTGAGATGTTTCCTTTTTGCCGTTTTTCTTCCTACTATGTTTGTCTCTTCCAAATACATATTTTTAATTTTAGTCCAGAACCCACCAAAGATATACCTTTAATTTGACAGTGGCCTGCAAATACATTAAATGGTCAACTAGCTAAAGTACATCCAAGTTAGGATATTTCTTTGGGCAAGTTCATCCCTCATGTGAAGACAAAATCAGCAAGTTCCACTGATACTTACAACAAAGACAAGCATAATGTCCAGTTATTTGATGGTTGCCTATGTTAAGAAACCAGAAGTCCCATCATTCATTGGATGTCAGTAAGTGTACAAAGATATTTAGTGTTCTTAGTGATTTTAGGTCTATCTTCTAGGTCTATCTTCTAGTAGTGGTTTGAGCTGTTGAATTACATATACAATGCTGACAGAAATGCTCAGGCTAGTAAAACCTGAGCTATATTAGTTGAATTGGGTAAACCTCCTCAGTCAGTGGATATAACTTTAAAGGTGATGGACAGTTGTGAGACTTGGCTCCAATACATAATACATTGAACATGTATCTTGTTGCATGCATGAAACTCACAGAACTCTCGATACACCAGCAGAGTTCTTGCCATCGGAAATTAATTCTACACCACATGACCAGTCTGTTGAAAGTATATGCATTTTTATAAATAGTGGGTTTAGGCAATATGTTTTATAATTGTTAAAGTATAATTGTTTAGGTGCCAGAAAGATGTAAAATATAGTGCAAAGCAATTTGTCACTCTATTAATTATCCAGTACTCAAAGTTGGGATCACTTTGCCAGCTTCTGTAAACCTCTATATTCACAGTGTGTAGATATTTTGGAGACCACATAGCTGTGACATCTAATTCCCAGCGAATTGCAGAGTTTGAAGGGGCAACATTGTCTCAAGAGTTTGTTAGCAGTAGATGTTTTGAAATTATCTCGTAAGTGGAAAAGTTCTTGAAGTGAATTTGAACAAAGCTGACGTGCTTGCCTCAGACAGGGCTTTTTAAGCTAAGCACAGATTGTGAAAATATAATTAGAGACAAGTCTTTGTTTCCTCTCAATGAGTGGGAAATGTTGAAAGAAAAGGTCTCCCAGGCTCCATTGAACCAGCTTTGGACACAATAACTGGGCCCCTGAGTCTTTCTCTTCTCCCTAATGAGAAATGTTAATTGCCACAATTTCCAGATTGTGTTAAGCACCAGGCTTGCACAAAATAAGGAGTGTTTTATTTAAACGGTTCTTAAACTTCTCATCCTCATTAAATGTGGTAACAGAGATAATGAAAAATGAAAAGCACTGTTTCATTTTTTTTACTCTTAAAACAATGCTATGTTTATGACTGTTCTGCTATTTAATTGCAAACATGTTTGGTATGTTGCCCGTTCATTCAAGTATTCGTAAGAAATGTATCCAGTTCTAACTATTTTGAGATCTTTCCAGTAACGTTTTGAATTCGAAGACAGACTGTCTAATGAGACCGAGACAGATAGATGATAGATAGACATACAGATAGATAGATAGAGGCTGAGAAAAATAACAGACAGAGAGCTACGTTGTAGACATATGGTTGATATATATAGACATGTTAGGGAAAGGGTTACCACACAGAGTAATTTTTACTCAATTTTCTCCAGAATCTAATTAATCAGTTAAATCCCATGTAATCACATACCTCCAA